GACTTAGATAGGGGGTGGGGTCCTGGGGGCAGTTAGGGTGGGGGGACAGGTAGGGGGATTCTGAGGGGGCGGGGCTAGGGCGGCACCCCATGTCCTCGTTTTTGATTGTTGAAATATGGTAACCCTATGTGTGCTCTTCTCCCATCCCCTTCTATTTCAGGGATTCTCTGCAACCTGATCCTCATGGCAGGGGCTCTGTCGCCCCCACATGCAACTTCTGGCGCCCCCCCCCCAGCTTCCTCTTCTCCCCTCACCGTTCTTTTCTTTCAGTCTGAGAGAGAAGTAATTAGAGACTTGGTTGAAGCTGCCTTCTTAGCAGATGCCAGTTCAAAAGTTATTGTATTTCATCCAAACAGACCGAGGACTGCCATCAAGTTGACTGTAGGTTCCTCGCTATGCCCAGCGAATAGAAATTCACCTTTGGGCTGAGTCAAAGCATGCTGGGATAGCTCCATGCTCCGAAGCCTTAACAAGCTCCCTGGTGGCCACTCCTCCTTTCTTGTACTGAGCAGATCTTGGCAGAAGGCAGAATCTGGCCAACTAACACCTCCACTGCCTTGAAAACAGCTTCTGATCCTTTACAATCACTTTCCTTCAGATTATATTCCTTTATGTCAAGGTTCCCCCCACACCCACCCCTGTGCTTTTTCCCTTTGCTTCTAGGGTAGCTAGATTCCTGTGCTATTCTGATTTTTAGCCTGCAAGTCATTGACTCAGAGGAGCCTCCTTTTTACTTTCCCATTGAAGAAAGGAGTTTATTTTCCTTTGCCTCACCTGATATTTTACTCTTCACTTCCTTTTTTGGGCTGTGTGACAATGCGGTTCTGGCGGAACCTAACTGAGAGTGCCAACTCAGGACAAATTGCTCAAACAGGGCAGTTACAGCCCAAGGCTGGGGGTTTTCCACCTCTAAGGCAAACCAAACCAGTCAGACTAAGAGGACTTCGGTCTCACCCCACTGGCTAACTGCAAGTCTCACAAGCAATTTCCTTTGACACTCCAGTTTCCCAGTATCACCACCAGTGCCGCTCGTTATGGGGACAAATGGTTATGAAAACCAATACCCAAATAAAAGAAAAAAGGTTCTCCTGATCCCAAAGGACCAAGCCCCAGACCCAGGTCAATATAAAAATCAGATCTTACCCACAAATCACGCTGTTGCTAATCCTTTAGAATCTAAAATCTAAAGGTTTATTCATAAAAGGAAAACGATAGAGAAGAAAATTAGAATTGGCTAAATGGAATCAATTACATACAGTAATGGCAAAGTTCTTGGTTCAGGTTTGTAGCAGTGATGGAATAAACTGCAGGTTCAAATCAAGTCTCTGGAATACATCCCCCGTTGGGATGGGTCCTCAGTCCTTTGTTCAGAGCTTCAGTTTGTAGCAAAGTTCCTCCAGAAGTAAGAAGCAGGATTGAAGACAAGATGGAGATGAGGCATCAGCCATATATAGTCTTTTCCAGGTATAAGAACACCTCTTTGTTCTTACTGTGGAAAATTACAGCAAAATGGAGTCTGGAGTCACATGGGCAAGTTCCTGCATACTTTGCTGAGTCTGAAGGCATATTTGCCTTCTCTCAATGAGTCCATTGTATAGCTGATGGTCCTTAATTGGCCATCAAGCAGGCTAGGCAGAGCTAATCTCAGCTTGTCTGGGATGTCACCCAGAAGCATAGCATAAGTTTGCCATACAGACAGTATAGAGCCAATATTCATAATTTCAACTACAAAACTGATACACACATATAGACAGCATAATCATAACCAGTAAACCATAACCTTGTCTTAGACACCCCATTTGACCCCCTTTATACAAGATTTGCGTGCCACTACAGGACCTTGGTTGCAACAATGATCTATATGGTCCCAGTTTATGTCAATAACGTCACAGGCTGGCAATTTCTCTGCCCTCACAGCCATTGTCAGAGCACTGAGCTGCTCTCTCCTTTCTTTCACTAGAGCCTGGTCCTAGAGCTTGAGATTAGTGAAAACAAATCTTCTCCGGCTTGGGGAAGAGTGTCACTTGCTTCCTTTTCCCTGTCTGCCTTTGTCCTCTTTCTCTGGTGTAGGGGTACAGCTGCTCTAACACTGTCATGTAGTAGCATTGCCAGTAGCAAGAACATAGGAAGATGTAATTGGTGGCAAAAGTAACGAGTGATTTGGTCACAAGGTGAAGACCTACCATAATTTATTCTTTTTAAAAAATATATATCAATTTGAATATTTGATTTTAACCTTTTCAGTTGAATCATATTTTATTCACACATTGCAAATTCTTTACTTTCTTCCTACTTCATAGCTTTAAATTCCTAAAGTGGATATTTTATACTTATTTCTCAAATTAGTTTCCTAACTATTGGAATTTGAGCTTTTACACAGACTTTTTTCAATTGAGAGATTTCACTCTTAAAATACTCATTTATGCAGAAAATGATAATTCCAGTTCCCCATTAACCCTTACTGTGAGAACGACACAAACTAGATGCGCTATATTTACAACACCACAATCTTGGATATATTGAACTTCCATAAGTCAAGAAACTGACATGCTTTGCCCAGGCTGTACTCCTCCATCAGCGGTTGCAGTTGGGAGCCATTGGGACTTGTGTTCTTTATGTGGTCTCGAAAAATCTCTTCGATCCTTAAGCTCATATTTAGTAATTAACCTTAGGATATTTTTTTAACAAATGGGCCATTTGTATAAATAAAAGTTCATAACTGTTAATGTACTGAAAATCTAAACTTCTCAGTGTTAATGCAGAAGCTGCTTTGCTCTGAAATGACAGACTGTCACAAAGTGTTTCATAAAACTACAAGCACTCATGCATATATTTAAAAGAGTAGCCTCATTGTCTATTCAGATGAGTAAAGTTAGATACCTGCTTAGATGCCTGCACAATCAGGGCTTTAATTTTCAATACTTTTCTTTTGCCTATAGCAGTTTTGTAAAACTCAAATAAAATACCCCACCAGTACCGGCATTTAAAAAAGGAGCATTTATAATGAAGTGCATTATAAATATTCTTCTAAAGTTGCAATAGCACAAAATTTCAAATTAATTTTATAAAGGCTTAAAATAAATCAATATTTTTTAAAAAAAGTTAAGTCACTTAAAATCATGATTTAAATCACTTTGATTTAAGGTGTTCCACCCTATTTGTTAGTATTGACCTACATGTGAAACAGAATTGTCAGTATGTCAGGTGTATTGAATAGACTATTAGTACAGAATCATTAACTCTTAAAGTACCTTCCAACACAGTGCACTATTAAAAAAAAAAAGTTTGTCTGTTTAACTATTGTTGGGGATGGGAAATAATATGAAACTGAGCCAAGTTCTGCTCCCATTGAAGTAAACAGCAAAACTCACATTGACATCAATGAGAGTAAAATTTGTTAAATAGTTCAAATGAAAAAATAATTGTAACTTCAAAATACTTTTTCAGTTAATTACAATTACTGTTTGAAAGTATTTCCCTTTTCTTTTCAGCAGAAGTACATCTATTGAGGCAAGTTCATCCCTGGAATAACCCTACTGGTGTAAAAGATTAATTAAGGGTGAATTTGGCTCAGATATGGATTAAAGACATTAAGGACCTCGCTATACATATTCTATCCACCAGCTATTGTCTTGTTTTCCTGTCCGTATCTGACTGATTTCTACAATTACCATGATTCTTTAGCTTAAACTCTGTCCCCCTCTTTCTCTCTGTTCCTCCACCTAAATTTGTTTGTGCATTAATTTGTGATATTTTGTTTATTCTTCCCTACTATAGCTTGTTTTGTGGATATTGTTATGGGATTTGAGATCTCTTCACAAAAGAGAGATGACAGTTTATTCCATGGACAGTACCAGCTGAAAGCATATCTTCCTGACATTCTAAAAGCCCTCACATCCCTAAGCAGTCTGAGTTGCAATGTGGGGACAAAGACACAGAGCAGCGTGGCAGTTTACCTGAACAACACCGTTACACCCGTGTCTTCAAAGTTCCAATTTGACAGTGAGAAAATATGGATCAGCCTGAGAGAGATCCTGATCGACAAACCATCTCGTCTTAATGTCAACTTCCTGGAGTCACTCTGGAAAACGTTTCCTAGCAAAGCTGATGATCAAAATCGAAGGAAGGTAACCTAGTCTCTTACACTGAGACTTTGGTCCAAAAATAAGTTCTTTTGTTTTAATTCTGCTTTTGACTTCCTGTGACTTCAAACTTTCTATCTTTCTTTAGGTTTTACTGGTATTTTCAGATGGTTTGGATGAAGATGTAGAAGAACTAGAACAAAAGTCAGAAGAACTTAGAAAAAAAGGTATCTTAAAGCGGACAAATATTTATATTAAATTACTCAACCCAAAGCTCTTTAGCTGAAGAAAGGCAGGTGAAAAAGGGACAGAAGAAAAACTAATGCCTTCCCTTTTAGCAGCCAGGATATGGAGATAGTGAGAGCCACTAATTCAGAGTGTTATGTCCTAACATTGCTTTTTGTTTGCCTTGTCATGAAGCTTCCATGCATGATGATGTGGTGTGATAACCCACAATCACCACCAAGTGGTACAAGGTCATGAAATAAATATAGGAAAAGCACCAAATTTGCTCAGCACCTGTCACTGGGAACAGATTTTCAAAAGGGCTGAGCGTCTCAGATTGTGGTGCTGATGGCTTGATTCTCAAAAGTGTTCACATGGACACAATGTGCTGAGCTTTTGTGAAAATCTGGCCACTTATTTTGGTGCATATACGGGAGCTGAGTTTTTTTTAAATATCTAGTCCTAAATGTGGGTGCTGAGCTCTTTTGGAAATTCTGGCCATAAAGTTGGGATAATTGTTTTCAGTCTATTGTATTCCATTTTTGGATTTACCTCAGTGGATGATCTAGCCCAATGTGTGTATGTTTTCTTCAGCTTTAAACTCAATTTCAGTACAAGGCAGTGTTACTTTGAAAATTAAAAACTTGCTTTCAGGTGAAAGGATAAACTATTCTGGAAATAATTGTGCTGACAGCCACAGCGGTCACATGTTCTTTGATGCTCAAGCTTCACTCAGAGAATTCATTCCACGGTTGCTACTGATTCCGGATTGCCGCTGGCCCATTTATTTTCTATAAATTAATTATGGACTCTTAAAAACAAAATGTGAAGATAAATCATGATTTTCATCCTTTAATCTATAATCTTTATTTTTACCCATATAATAATCTGAATTCCTACACACAAGGATCCCATCAACTAAATAATTGTCTAAAATTTTCATTTGGATAAATGTTTTATGTTTTGCTCATTTATGGTCAATGTTTTAAACAGGATTGGATGCATTGATGACTGTTGTTCTGGAAGGAGCCTCTAAATTTGATGAGCTTCAGTTCATTGAGTTTGGAAAGGGATTCGACTACATGACTCAATTAACTATTGGCATGAGCAATATCGCCAAAGCACTGTCCAAGTATGTGGTAAGTCATTCAGAGAAGCTCCAGTGTGTCTAATTAGAGTTTTGATGAAGGCCCTAGTCATTTTCTTAAAGAACTGAACAAGGCTCACAACTGAACTGAGAAGAGTACAATAGTCATGGAGGGCAAGATTCTCTGGTATGCTCGGGCTGCTTTGTGCCACCACTGGTGGCCTAGAGTCAACTTGCTCAGTCCACTGAAGTTTCCCATTGTGTGAGAGAATCTTCTCATGGTACTGGAGCAGCCCGCTTAGCTTGGCAGCTGTTGGTGCAAGGAGTGTGGCTGGGGAAGGGGCCAGGAGGAAGGAGTGAGGCTGCTCTAATTTAGCCTGGGACCAGCCCTGGTTGCCAGATAGCCCCAGGATCAGGGTGCTGCAAAGGCCTGCTGCACTGGGTGCTGCTCGACCACAGCTGAGGATCTAGCCTGTAGAATACAAGGCACAATCCTGCTCCTCCTGAATTCAATGCAAAACTCTCAATGTCTTAAATGTGCTCAGGATCAGGGAAGTGTGAATGAAAAATGAAGTTTCACAGGTTGTTTCTTCCTCTTTTCAAGACTAACGTTGCTGAAAGGACGTGCTGTGCTGTTTTTTGCAAGTGCATTGGGGAGGAAGGTGGAATTGGACCCCGAGGGAATGAAGGAAATGAAGTAAGAATGTTTTTGTGATACTTCATCTGCATTGTAATTATACAGGGGCCAGCCAAGTCCAGGAAAATGGAAATGTTGGAGCTTTATAGGAAGACTGTTTTATTGCCTTTGGTGTATCTATTCTCAGGGCTTGTCTACACTTAAAATCCTGCAGCTCTGGTGCTCCAGTATAGATACTGCCTACTCTGACAGGAGGGATTATGCCATCGGTGTAGGTAATCCATTCCCCGAGAGGCAGTAGCTAGGTAGACCAAACAACATGATCTATTAAAAAAAATAAAAACAAACTCCAAAGTTGAATTGGCTCCTAAGGCATTATAAAAAAATCTGAGATGAACAAACACAAAATACTCACAGCATAAATAGACCCTGT